CAGAACTGACTCCATGGCACATAACCACCACCTAAGGCCAGGAACTCTGCTGTCACATTCCTCCCACACCCATATTGTGAGCTCCTTGACTTTATTTTTCCTTATTTTCTTCTGTGTTATTGTGAATTGAGTGAAAGTTGACAGGGCAGATCATCAGTTTTACATCCAAGAAATCATATACCTTGTTTCACTACAATGATTATAATCCCCTCCATGTACCACCAGATAACAGTATTTCTCTCTATTAATTTTAGCTCTTTTTTTTTTTTTTAACACTCAGGCATATATAATAATTTACACTACCAAAGGGCACATTCTGCAAGTCAGCCTCCGGATGCCAGCCTTTGGTCCTTTTCTTCCCATGAATCTAGAGTCCTCGGCTGCTCCCTCTCTCCATTTCCCATCTCTGCCTCCATCTATGGTGTCGCTGCTCCTCTAGTTAAGGTCTTGCAAATCACTTGTACTCTTCTCCCTTGATGGTCCTAGGGTCCTTTGTTTCTGGACTGTAAGAATAACTACTGCCCGTTTTTATTACAAAACTTCAACCTTTACAATTTAAAACAGTCGCAATTAGTCATGATAACAATTATTCACTATTGGATCATAATAATCGTATCCTCATCTTTTTTAACCAGACCCATGTAGACAAGATGAAAACTATTCAGTGGGGACTCTTTCTTCCCCCACAAACTGTTAAACTAAACTCCCTCTTGAAATCTTGTAAGCCAGTCACTTTGTGCCTGTATAGCCCCCTCATTTTAGGTAGTCAGTATTTAAGTTGCCTGTATCTATCTTCCTTGTATACAGAGAGGATAGCATTGATACTTGTGAAGACTCTTGCCTCTCTGTTGGTATTTAGAGTTACTACCTCCATGACTATAGGTCAAGTTCATCAAATTATAGAAATTTACCCTGAAATTCCTTTATCAAAAACAGTTTGTGGTTTTATTTTTTAAATCTTCCTCTAGTCAAGTCCTGATTATCAAGCCATTGACACTAGGTCAAATAGCACATCTCACCTTTTGATCTTCCTATACTATTCTGCCTTTCATCTTTTCTGTTCCTGGTTTTTCTAAGTGATTTTTTATCCCACCATGTTATTTCTATCTGATTGTAATTTTCTGTAGCTCCATTTCCTTGTTCCTCTTTTGTCTTTATATTTATTATAGTCTTTTTTTTTTTCCCCTGGTTTTGCCTGTTTTTATTTATTTTTTTCTCTTTTAATTTTTAGTTCTTAGTTTATTTTCTTGTGTGTGTGGAAGGTGTTCCCTCTTTCCCAAATGACAGGAGACAGCAACTGTGTCCACAAATCCCAGTCACAATATCCTCTGCAGCTACAACCATAGGGCAAAGTTAATATCAGCTGCTATACCACCCGATCAATGACAGCAGCCAACACCAGCAAAACTCACCGTAAAATGAGGTGAACAGACAGTGACCAAGAACACTGTACACACTTCCATTCTATATCAATCCCCACAGAAACAGATGGTGAGAGCCAATGAACACATCAACACATAGCCAATTTTAGCTCACATGAAGAAACAAGAGAGAATGTCTCAAACAAATGACCATAATAAAGAGTGAGAAAATATTTCTGAGGAAGAAAAGGTAATGCAATTAACTAAAAAAGAAGTTACAAGAAAGATATTTTAGAACCTTATTAGAATTTACAGAAAGATTGAGGAAAACAAGCAGAATACAGAACAAAACAAAACAAAACAAAAACTTTAAAAGAACTCAGGAAACCACTAGAATAACAAACAGACAAAATGAATATAAATTTTGAAAGAATACAAAACATGCTATTATTAATCCAGGAAATTAAGACTAAGATTTCAGAAATGGATACTATATTGAAAGAGAAAAGGAGTAAATTTGAAGCAACAGAAGCTGAAATTTGTGAGTTAGAAGAGAAATATCTCAATACTGCTATGGTAGAAGGACAATCAGGATAAAGAATCAACAAATCTGAAGAACACCTAACTGTTACATGGGATACCATGAAGAAAAACAAATTATGTGTAATTGGAATTACAGAACAAGATGAGACAATAAAAAGCACAGACAAAATTGTCAAAAAATTTTTGGACGAAAACTTCCCTAATATCATGAAAAACTAGAAGATAAGCATACAAGACATTAAACAAACCTCAAACAGAATAAATTCCAAAAGAAAATCACCAAGACATATCACAATCAAACTTTCCAAAACCAAAGACAAGGAAAGAATCCTGAGAGCAACTCAAGAAAAACAAAAAGTTATCTACAGACTAAACTCTGATTTTTCAGCAGAAACCATGCATACAAGAAGACAATGGGATGACATTTATGAAACTCTATAGGAAAAAAAAAATTGCCAACCAAGAATTATAAACCAGCAACACTGTATCTCAAATATGATGGTGAAATTATGACATTTCCTGATAAACAGAATTTAGAGGAATTTGTAAATACCCTATCAACTTTACAAAATTAATGAAGGGTGTTCTTTGGATTGAAAATCAACAACAGCAGATAACAGCCTGAGATTACCATATATGACAATGCCATCAAGAACTCAACCCAGATATATTGTTGTTGTTAAGTACCACTGAGTCAACCCTGACTCATAGTGACTTTGGAAAGAGCTTCTGAGGTACAGCTGGTGGGTTTGAACTGTCGTCCTTGTGGTTAGCAGTCCAGTGCAGATCCTATAGTACCACACCAGGAGTCCAGATATAGAAGTATTTTAAGTAAAAAAATCTAAAAGTTTGGAAATAGGAAACCAGAGATATCAATTTATAATGACGTTAACTACAAAGCAAAAAGAGGAAACAGTGTACATACAGAATTTCCAAATGGCTAGGAAGTCAAATAGATTTCAAGATAAAACAGACTATTTAAACAGTGAAAAGCAAATATATAAATAAATTACAGAGCAGCCTTAAAGAAAATTAATACACTTTTACATTAAAATCAAAAGAGGAAAATTAGAAAGATTTAGTAAATATTAACATAACAAAAAGGAGCTCTGGTAGTGTAGTGGTTAAGAGTCAGGTTGCCAACCACAAGATCAGCAGTTTGAAACTACCCATGGTTCCTTGGGAGAAATATGAGGCTTTCTGTAAATATGAGATTTACAACCTCAAAAACCCTATATACACAGTCCCCATGAGGGGGAACCAACTCCTCAACACACCACCACCACCACCAATAACCCAACAGAAATGAAGAAAAAAGAAATGAAAAGAAAACCCACAAATATGATGAAACCAGCCTAGAAAATTATGTGGGGCAAAGAAACCAGCAGCTTTACATATAAAACACACAGCAAAATGACATCAATCAATTTACATCTATGAATAATTACACTGAATGTAAATGAATTGAATGCACCAGTCAAGAGACAGAAAAGATAAGAAAACAGGATCTATTAATATGTTGTCTACAAGAGAAACATTAAAAATATAGAAACAGCCTAATGTACTTCAACAGAAGAATGGTTAAACAAACTTTGGTATATAAACACAATGGAATACTGTGCAACCTATTCAATAAGCATATCCAATAGCGATGAATCTGCAAAACACCTCACAACATGGATGAAGCTGGAGTTGATAACGCTGACTGAAATTAGTCAATCACAAAAGGACAAATATTATATGAGACCAAGTTGTAAAAAGTTAAGAAAAGGTTTTTTTAAATAAAAGAAACAATAGTTGATGGTTAAGAGAGGACAGGGGAGGGAAAATCATTCATGGGTTAGAGGGTAGACACAGGTTAACATGGATAACAGGATAGGCAATATACAATAATTGGGAGGTTAGCCTAAGAAAGATGAAAGTAGTGGGAGACATAGGGAGGAATGCAATAGTTAATAGATGTAAATACTGTTAAACTGTTGATACATGGAGGGCATTGCAATCTACAATTGTAATAAACAAAGTTTAAGATTTGGTGAATATAAAACTGATGATCTCCTCTGTAAACCTTCATTCAATTCATAACAAAATTATTTTAAAAAAGAAAATCTCAGTACATTGTTCCTATTTTCCTTATTTTTGCACTGACATATGGAATGGAATTGGTTCATGAACCAGGATGTCAGAGCCAATGTTTCAATGCTTTCTGGTGATCCAGGATTTTACATAAAGACACTGACATTACCAACTGAAACATTTAAGTATCATTCATAGGAAACTATACATGGGGATCTTACTACACAAAATGGCCACAAATTTTAACAAACCTTAATACTGTCAGACATATATTTATCAACATTGACTTTATCTGAGTATTAGAATGAAAACCTGCAGCTTTGGACATGGTACAAAATATAAACAAATCCTTTACTCAAACTTGTTTCATAGTACTCACAACAATGAACTGCCATTTTGTTACCATGATTCTCTCGCTTTCTAGACACTAAACTACTTGAGGGAAGGAACTAGTTTTCCTTACCTTGGTACCCTTACAAATAATGTAACATTTGGCATACTGTGGGTCTTATAAATATTTGGTCATGATTAAATGAAATTATGAGGCCCAGTTTATGTCTCCTGAAACATCACAATTATATATAGAAAATCCCTGCTACTTTTTTATGGTTTATGAACAGAAATAAGAATTGGATGTGTCCTTCAACATTCATTTGTTAATCCTTCATATGTGAAATTGTGTCTGAAGATAACAGAAATGAGCAGGAGGTAGTTCCTGTCCTCGAAGATGACAAGAAGTGGCTTGTATTCCACAGTCTACATGATCCTTTTATCGCAGTATTTTACAGAAGAATATCCAATGTCTGGCATGATGTAAATACAATTAATCAAATCATTGCGCTGATATGTTCGACTTCATGAGCATAGAACTCATTTACGACCTCAAAGTGTACTACCCATTATTTATGTGACAGTCTTCCACCCTAACAGATTACAGTCACTATTTCCATTCCATTACAGTTTACTTAAATCGGAGCCTTAGCCTTAACCACTTTAAATGAAAACAAACAATCTACTTACTATTACAAGTCTTGTTATATTTGCTGTTCTCCTGTGCAAACCCTTCCAGCCGACACTGAAAGCGATGCTGCCAAAATTCTTGAAACCAAGGATTTCTGAGGTTTGTTTCTGGCCGGAGCTTCAGATAATAATCATCAAACCACTTGACATCAGGTGATTGGAGCTTGATTGTGATTCCACCCACAGCTTCTCGCTGATAGCCATCTGTCACATCATACCTGTCAGCCCAGCCATCACTGTGGGGGAAACAAAACATTCCTTAGCTCACAACAGATATCTTCTAAGCAAATAAGATTCAGTGCTTTCCTTATGAGAAGATTAGTGATTCAATGGTTACTCCAGGCCACACTATGGTTCAACATTTCATTCCACTGAGGTGATTCTTCAGATACCAGTGTGTTATGATAAAAGTGCAATAACACAGGCATTAAAACATTGAGTCTAAGTGGGCTAGAAGGCAACTCACCATGAAGTTTTACTGGTTGCAAAACACACTGGATACATGGAAACTGCATAATATCACCATTCTCACTATTTATTGACACTTTAATAGCTAGGACAAATTAACTTTATATACTTTTCCTTTATATTATATTAATCATTATAATGATCATAAAACTAAAACCTCTTAATATTAATCTAACCAGCCTATGACATAATATTTGTTTTTATTCACATTTTACAAGTGAAATATGGTGGTGGTTATGTGCTGTAGAGTCGGTTCTGACACATAGTGACCCTGGATAGGATTTCCAAGGCTGTCAATCTTTACGTTAACAGAAAGCCTCTTTCTCCTGTGGAACTGTTAGAAGTTTCAAACTACTGACTGCATGATTAGAAGCCCAACTTGTAACCACTATTCTACCAGAGCTCCTTAAGTGAAATATAGTAAGGTTTAAAAAATATATATATCTGCAGAAGATTGTTAGTCTATTAAATTATTAATTTCAGTGTATCAAACCAAGATCTTTGCCATCTATAATTCATATTTTCTTTCCTATCTCATGATTACTTCTCAAATATATTTTAAAAGTACAATATGAAATCATGTTTTATATTAGAGTGATGGAAAGAAATTATTAAAAGAAGCGACCAAAATTAATGACAGTGGTCACATGGAACATTAGGCAAATCTCCTGTAAAAGACCTTTTTTTTTTTGGTACAAGACCTTTTTAAAGTGTTGAATTACTCAAAGTAATTTCAAAATAAAAGTTTGAAATAAAATAATTTGCATTATAATACTTAAGTGTTTAAGACTGCCAGAAGAACAAATAAATCTGTTTCAGAAGAAGTACAGTCAGAGTGTTCCTTAAAAGTGAAGATGATGGAATGTTGTCTCTCATGTTATCAGGTGGGACCAGTCCCTGCAGAAGGACATCATACTTGGTAAAGTGAAGGGTCAGCAAAAAAGACCTCCCCCTGAGTGAGATGGATTGATCCAGTGGCAGCAGCAATGGATTCAAATGTCACGAGGATGGCACAGGATCTGACAGTGTTCCATTCTTCTGGCATAGGGTCTCTGTGAGTTGGAAGTGACTTGATGGCCCCTAACAACAACTGCATATGATGGGAAACGTATTTGAAACTTATTCTGAAAGATGTAAACTGCTGCCGCTGCTGCTGCTATATGCCAGTGAGTCCGTTTCAACTCATAGAGATCCTATATAGGGTTTCCAAGGTTGTAATCTTTACAGGAGCAGAAAGTCTCATGTTTCTTTCATGGAGTGGGCAGTAGATTCTAACTGCTGGTCTTACAGTTAACAGTCCAACACATAACCCACTTCACCAGTAAGGCCCCTCGAAAGATGTGTAAGACACAAATTGTAAAATGAGAGATGTGTATATCAAATTTGTGTCCACTCTGGAGCATCCAGGGACCTTTCTCTCCACCATTGAAATATAAAAAGTTTGTGTTTTGTATCTGTTTTTTCCTTTGAATTAATGTAAATGCTCTCTGCAGGATGGTAAAGGAAATCCAGGAAAAATTTGCCCCCCTCCCCAAAAACCAATTAAGATCAAATTGGGAAGAAAAAGGATGTGAAAGAAGTTGAGAGAAAGAACAGATGGAATACAAAATAGGGGAGTGTTTGAGAGTAAGCTGCCAGTGGGACAGGTGAGCACTGGAGAAAAAGTGAGGGCAGGTATTTATCTTGTTGCTGCTTGTTGTTAGGTACCATCGAGTTGGTACCGAATCATAGCGACCCTATGAACAAGAGAATGAAACACTGCCTGGTCCTGGGCCAACCTCACAATTGCTGCCA